CCTATACTCTTCTGAGAAGAGCTATTTGAGGGATAATTTGAATAAATCAAGTCACTTAAAAAGCCAGTCTAAGACATTTGAATAGATGCTTTTTTCTTTGAATACATTTCCTTTAATCACTGCAAGAATTTAAAAGTATTCCATCAAACCAAGAGGTGCCTCAGAGTTCAGAAATTGGTGGTCAATACCTGTTTGTTGCTGCTGCTGTCAGTGATGGTGATGTGTGTGTTTCTAATTCTCTGAAAGATGTATTTTTTTTTCTTTTTTGAAAGACATATTTAATTAAATTAATTAATTAATTTATTTTGAGTTGGAGTCTCACTCTGTCGCCCAGGCTGGAGTGCAGTGGCCGCTCCCGGCCACCGCAGCCTCAACCTGCTGGGCTTCCGCCTCAGCCTTCCGAGTAGCTGGAACTACAGGCGCGTGCTACCACGCCCGGTTAATTTTTGATTTATTGTAGAGATGAGGTCTCGCCAAGTTGCCCAGGCGGGTCTCGAAGCCGTGGGCTCAGGCAATCCACTCACCTCAGCCTCCCAAAGTGCGGGATTACAGGCTGAGCCACCGAGCCCGGCACGAAAGATGTATTTTAAAACTGAGTTTACCAGAAGTCCCCAAACTTTCTCTGTTCACAGCAAACTTAGTGTCTTAGTAACTTTTTCACAGTATATATAGGCCAAAATAAATATTTAACTTCTCTTTAGTTAGGTTCAGACAACACATGAAGTACTTCTGCCCTAACTTAGTAGGTGTCATATTATTTTTGGCGAAAAAGTTACATAAATTGAGAGAATATTCTTATTTCTTTTTTAATCAAATGAATGACTTACTAACAGGGTGTGTGTGCCTGCACAGCTCTTCAAACCTTGGAAGCAGATTGAACTTTATCTCCTTCCATGTCGATTTTCTCTAGGCATGTGCTTCTTTTCACCAAACCTCTGAAAACCTGGTTTCCCAAGGATAGTGTAGCATGGCCTAATTTGAATCTTAACAATGCTAACAGTTAGATGTTTAATATTGCTGATCCTTCTTTGAAAATTAAAAAATCAGCTGGGCTCAGTGGCTCAGCCTATATCCTGTGCCTTTGGGAGGCTGAGGTGAGTGGATTGCCTGAGCCTGCGGGTTCGAGACCCACCTGGGCAGCGAGACCTCATCTCTACAATAAATAAAAAAATCAGCCGGGCATGGTAGTGCATGCCTGTAATTCCGGCTACTCGGAAGGCTGAGGTGGAAGGATCGCCGGAGCCCAGCAGGTCGAGGCTGTGGTGGCCAGGAGCGGACACTGCACTCCAGTCTGGGCGACAGAGTAAGACTCTAACTCAAAAAAAAAAAAAAAGAAAATTAAAAAATCCTTGGCTCCCCTGTGAGTTTGTGGCGATGCCCTGGGACTTAAATCCCTACTATTCACCTCACTCCACCCCTTTTATTCAACGCTACAGTTGAAGCTGCTTAAATCCCTACTTTTCACCTCACTCCACCCCTTTTATTCAATGCTACAGTTGAAGCTGCTTGGTTATAGATCAGATAAAATCACCAGAAAGAACTGCTAAGCCTGATTATGTCTTCACTTTGAGCACCATTTTAACAGTGCATTTTGAAAGCTATGAAACAATTACCAGGTCACTAGCAAGAAGTCCTAAAAATAAACTTGACAATACATCCTTGAAGTATTGTCTCACAGGCATAAGATAGTATCAACTACAGCAGGACTGGTGATCAGATCAGCATCCGAGGGTGCTCTTTCTGGCTGTAACATGGAGGGTAAATCAGGAGTGGCGGCCAGTTTTGTGGTCCTGAGATGGTTATAGGAACTGCGGCACGGGTGGCAGGGATGGAGAGGACGTGAATGGGGAGATGTTTATGAAGCCAAGTCAATGAGCTAGGGTCTACATAGGGCAGGAGGAAGTGGGCCGCAGTCCCCATACCTGAGCAGGTGTGTCACCCACCCCTCCCACCCAGGATTGCAGGGTGAAGGAAAGAAAGGACACTGACCTCTTTGCCTGACTTCTTCCTTATTTTTCCTCTGCATCCTACACCAGGTTGGAAGTGGCAGGTTTTCATCCAAAAGTGGGGACTTCCCTCATGTTGTAGCATGAGTTATCTCACCAGGCAGTCAAGAGTGGCATGCCTGGTTCTTGCTATGCTGATGATAGTTTAAGAGAGTTAAAAAAAATCTTTTCTTTCTGAATTAGGCTGGCTTTCCAGACTATTGGCTTGCAGGGGACTGGAAAAATTCTGCTTTGGAAGTCAAAAACTGAATGTTGGCTTCCTTCTGTTTCTCCACCCCCTCACCCCAGACTGATGCTGCCATTGTACTGTCTTGTTTTCTTCAGAGCATCAATTACTATCTAAAATTATTTATTTGCTTTCTGTTTCCTCCTATTAGTTCTTCTTCTTCTTTTTTTTTTTTTTGAGTTGGAGTCTCACTCTGTTGCCCAGACTGGAGTGCAGTGGCCGTTCCCAGCCACCGCAGGCTTGACCTGCTGGGCTCCGGCGATCCTTCTGCCTGAGCCTTCCAAGTAGCTGGAACTACAGGCGCACGCTACCACACCCGGCTAATTTTTTGATTTATTGTAGAGATGAGGTCTCGCCAAGTTGCCCAGGCGGGTCTCGAATCTGCGGGCTCAGGCAATCCACTCACCTTGGCCTCCCAAAGTGCGGGATTACAGGCTGAGCCACCAAGCCCAGCCTCCTATTAGTTCTTAATGGAAGGGTAGGGACCTCACACTCATCTTGTCCAGAAAGTATATCTGCCACTTAGAACAGTGTCTGGAATATACAGAGTACTCAGTAAAAATGTGTGGACTCAGTATATAATGCTTACAGAATTGGCATGTAGCATGATATCAATGCACTATAAAACACAAACAAACAAACCTAAACAATTTTAGGGACAATGCACCTGGAAAAAAATGGAAAGTCTACAAAGGAACAAGGAGTAGAACACCCAGGAGAGGGGCTCTCAGAATCCAGGGAGAACAGAAACTCCAGGAGACATCAAAAGAATCAGATACAGTAGATAAAGGAAGGACTGGAAGGGACCCAGCAGAGGTGCGAGTGCTCCTCTTAATTGTCTGGAGCAGCAGAACTCTCCCCATCACCTTGCATGAGTCAGAGCTGGGAGTGTTCTTTAAGCAAGCTGCTCAGAGACCTTGGTCTGTCCTGCAGCTATCCCCATGGACATAAGTACATCACTAACATTAATTAAATTACTCTACCAGTATTTCTCAAATCATAGTCCACAGAGCACCTGAATCAGGATCACCTGGAGTGCTTTTACATGCAGACTCCTAGACCTCACATCCACCAAATCAGAATCTCTGGAGGTCAGGGCAGGTGCCCTTCACTAGTTTGAAACTGTGGCACTTTGACACTGTGCCAGGCTTCGCCTCCCCACCCACAGATGTGGCCTTCAGTGTATCCAGAAAAACTAGATCTTCAGACATGTCAGCCTGTATCAAAACCCACCTCAGCCTGCACCTACCTTATCAGAGCTGACCCTAACAAGGGTCCAGGTCCCTAGAGCTCTTGTGTACTCTCCTTTTGCTTGTGTTCATGCCTGCCTGTACCATTTCCTTCCTTCTTCTCCCACCATCCAGTATTCAGCCATCCTCCTTGCTAGTTCAAATCCTACCCACATGGCTTTGGAGCTCCCAATCAGGACTGTCTCTGAAGCACACACTTTCTGTTTTTCTCAGAGCAGCTAGCAAAAAGTGTGCCTGATAGTTTTGGCCAGGTGAGTGAGTGGAGAAGCATTCTCCACTCTTCTCTACTAGAATGTATTCAGTCCCATGAGAACATTCCTCAGTAGAATTCTGGGGAACAGATATGGTTCTAGAAACGGAGGGATCCACTCTGAGAAAAAGAAATAGCATTTCCGGAAAGCAATCCATTTTCACCTTTTTAAAAATCCAAACTTCTGTATTTAAAAATTAGCTTTTGAAGACAACAGATCTAACATGAGGAACTGAATCATCACTGAAAGATGGTGCTAGTACACGAAAAATGTACTGCCTCTCCTCTCTACCCACTGATGCAGACGGACCAATGGACAGAGTAGAAGAGCAAGAATCTGAGAGCAGGGGCCACACCAACGAGATCCACCTCTCTGGTGTACTCTTCTATCTTCAGGTCTCAGATCTTACTACTTTGGTAGTAGGGAAACTTTTAATTGTTGATATTTTATAAAGAACAATGAAGGTTACTGGTAGCTCAGAGGTAAGCTCCTATAAAAGAGAACCCTTTTTGGTTTTCATTTTATGTCAGACTGAAAGCACTGCAGTTGTAAGCACTTCTCTCCCAGGCTAGCTTCCTCTGACCATGGTCTTAAAGACCTCTCAGTCTCCCCCAGCCCAGATGTTTTCCCAGCATTCTCCCATTGGGTTCATGGAGATTTTTTTTTCATTTCTAACTTCTAGTCTCTCACTTAGGAATATAAGAGTCCCTGTTCTACCACTTTAGAACTTCTACTCTTTCTGGAAGCTTCTTGAACAAGTAAACACTATAAAGAAATAGAAAAAGTTAGAAAAGCAACAAAGGGTGCATGTATGTCGTGGAAGATAACCATTAAAGATTGTGTGTGGGGGGGACGGGGGATGGGATTAACAGTAGCAAATATCTGTCTGGGGATGGGGAAATACCTCTTATCAACAGGGTACCTGAATGAAACGTAATTGTACACCTAACCCTTAACTGTACCCCACAAAACCATAATAAAAAATATTGATTAAAAAAAATAAATAAATAAAAAGAAAAAAATAAAAATAAATAAATAAATAAATAAATTTAAAAAAAGATTGTGTCTAAAAGACAAATGCTAAGATCATGGGTCTTGTTCAGGTACACTGTACATTTTTGGAAAGTAGCAACTGAAGTACTCAGGAAAAAGATCAGTCCGTTGATCCCTGGAGTAAAATATAGTTGTGATCCTATGATCTGAGAAATGTCCTTCTTCCCATGATGCAGCCAGGTTCACATTTCAGAGAAAGGAGAGATGAAAGCAGTGCCATGTTAAAGACTGTAGGAATATTTTAATTCATATGTTTTAATTACATTACATAATTATAATATCACAGTCTATTTTACAAGTTAAATGTATGAGAATGTATGAAATAGAAAGGGTAGGAAAAAACTAAACATGGGTCAGGAACATGAATTTTTCCAAAACCAGGGCCAAAAGAAGAAGTGTAGCCTGCAGAGCCCAAGGAGGAGACAGGGAGGGTGACAGGTAGAGTATTAGCTTGTGGTGTGTTGGTTCCCCTGCCTTTACACTAGGAAAGAGTCAAGACCCATCCCCTGCCCTGGTCTGGGGTTGGAAGTTTAGTCTGGTCAGCGGAAGATGGCAGCTTGGGGAAAGGAGCCATCTGGTTACCTACACAAAGCTGGTCCCCTGGTGGTCGCAGGTGGGTTCTGCCATTGAGGAATTAGGGGTGGAGATGTCAAAACTCAAACGTGTGGAGGAAAAAAGTAAACGGTTTCCTCCTCTCTTCAAAAAACTCAAATTCTTGAAATGTGCACATATTCTTCTCTCAAATATAGAAAAGTCTCACTCTGGATGTGCTTACAAGAAGATCATCGTCAAAAAACTTTGTTTCTATGATAACGTTCCCACTGTAAGAAGAGAAACAGAGGACAAAGGAAAGAGGGAGCATGTTAGGCATAGGATTTCACTTCTACAAAGTGGTTTCTATCTGGGTTCACTGGACTCATGGACATGCACCAACCTAGAGCCTAGTTAGCCTGGGGACATTAAAATCCTGTCCATATGGGGTTAGAAGTCTAACATGACACTTAACTTACGTAATTAGTTTCAACCCACTCAAGTTCAGAAATCAGAAGTGAGAGCATGTCTCCACTCCTTGCTACACTCTAAAGTCCTTAGTAGAGTGCTCTGCACACAGGGTGCTTATAGATCCGACTGACTTTCTGATACTGCGTTCATGAACACCTCTAGCTGGTTTATACACAGAAGCCTGCAAACCTCAGGAGTAGTATCCTTCCCTAATACTACCTAGAGTAAACAGCAGGGGTTTGGCCTGTCCTATATCTATTTTCCTGCCTTTGGCTAATAGCACTCTGCTCTTCATTTGGGGAACCATCCTTCCTCCAGTCCATATGCCAATTTAGCGGCCCCTCGCTCACCTGGCAAAAGGGTGAGCAGAGGATATAACTGGGGCCAATCAAACTCTCGCCCCTAAACAGGATCCCTCCTATGGCTGTTTCTTGAGGAAACTATCCAGGGATTCCTGCCCCCTGCATCGTCTAAGCTGCCCAGGTCTCCCCCTTAATCCTTCAACTGTTGTATTAGCCAGAGCCTGTTTTTATTGCTCGCAAAAAAATAACACTACACGATGCCCCTGTGGTGTGAAGTGGAATTTCATTTTTCTTGGTAGGTATCTCAGTGTTCCCATTGGTAAAATGGGAGAGATCATGCCCTTACCAAATCACTCTTTTTTTTTTTCTGAGTTGGAGTCTCACTGTGTCGCCCAGGTTGGAGTACAGTGGCACGTTCATGGCCACTGCCGCCTCGACCTCCTGGGCTCAGGTAATCCTTCTACCTCAGCCTTCCAAGTAACTGGTACTACAGGCACGTGCCACCACTCCCGGCTAATTTTTGATTTATTGTAGAGATGGGGGGGTCTCATCAATTTGCCTAGGCTGGTCTCGAACCCATGGGCTCAGGCAATCCTCTTATCTTAGCCTCTCAAAATGCTGGGATTATAGGCGTGAGCCACCCTGCCCGACTTCCAAATCACTCTTGAGCTGAGTTTAGGGCAATTGTTTTGGGGGGTTTGGTTCTAAAAATTAAGTATAGATAATCCCCTATCTACAATGAATCAACCTATGATTTTTCAACTTTATGATGGGTTTTGGGGGTGCTAATGCATCTTTGACTTGTGATATTTTCAACTTATGATGGGTTTACTGGGATGTGATCCCATTATAAGCCAAAGAGTACCTGCACATTTTTTTAGGGTATAAAAAGTGAGACATGACTGGGCTCGGTGGCTCAGCTGGTAATCCTGCGCCTTTGGGAGGTTGAGGTGAGTGGATTGCCTGAGGCTGCGGGTTCGAGACCTGCCTGGGCAGGCGAGACCTCATCTCTACAATAAATCAAAAAATTAGCCAGGCGTGGTAGCGCATGCCTGTAATTCCGGCTACTCGGAAGGCTGAGGCGGAAGGATCACCGGAGCCCAGCAGGTCAAGGCTGCGGTGGCCAGGAGCGGCCACTGCACTCCAGTCTGGGCGACAGAGTGAGACTCCAATTCAAAAAAAAAAGTGAAACATGACTTAACAAGATGCTATCATAGATTTAATGGTTTCAGTACCTGCAAGAAATCAGGTCTGGCCAAGAAGAAGTCAAATTAACCTTAACAAAATCTAAACAAATGCCTTCCTAGGCTGGGTATGGTAGATCACGCCTATAATCCCAGCACTTTGGGAAGCTGAGGTGAGAAGATTGCCTGAGCCCACAGGTTCGAGACTAGCCTGGGCAACTTGGCAAGATCTCATCTCCACAATAAATCAAAAAATTAGCCGGGCGGGGTGGCATGCACCTGTAGTTCCAGCTACTGGGAAGGTTGAGGCAGAAGAATCACCTGAGCCCAGCAGGTCAAGGCTGCGATGGCCGGGAGCGTGCCACTGCACTCCAGCCTGGGCAACAGAGTGAGACTCTGACTCAAAAAAAAAAAAAAAAAAAAGCCCTCCTATACTACTTCGTACTTTCCAGGGTAACTAATAACCAGTAGACACATTCTGTTGGTAATTACAAAACAGGTAAATAAGATAATAGAAAATCAGATTGGTTGATAGAATATAAAAATAGCTACTATAGTACTAAAAAATCTATTTTAAAAACTATTTTAAACATATATGCATATTTTAAATTCAGATAAGGTCACATCCAGGCTGGTCTCAAACTCCTAGCTCAAACTCCTTGGTTCAAACAATACTCTTTCCTCAGCTTTCCAAACAGCTAGGACTACAGGTTTGTGCCACCATACCCAACTACTAAAACAAACAAACAAAACCCATTAAAAAGCCGGGCACAGTGGTTCATGCCTATAATCACAGCACTTTGGGAGGCTGAAGCAGGAGGACTGCTTAAGTCGAGGAGTTCATGATCAGCCTCTGCAACACAGTGAGACCTTGTATCTATGAAAAATTTAAAAATTAAATGGTGGCATGAGCATGGGGCATGGTGGCATGGTGGCATGAGCCTGTAGTCCCAGCTACTCTGGAGACTGAGGCAGAAGGATCTCCTGAGCCCAGAAGTGAGTCCAATGTAGCCAACATAGTGATAGCCTGTCTAAAAAAAAAAAAAATAACAATAATAATAAATAAAAACAAAAAACTTAAAAGTAATCTCTATTTAACAATTCAATGTGGCTTTCATAAAGGACCTGCTGAGAGAGACAATCCAATATTACACAATTATCTATGGGACTAACTCTTTAGAAGGCACTTTTACTACAGCATTTGAGGGATGAACGTACATTCCCAAGAGAAAATGGTAAGTGGGCAGTTATTGCCAGTGCTTTTGGACAAAAGAAAAAATAATTTTCTTTGAGCAGAAAGCAAAGCTATTAGAATGGTTAGCTACTCTCTGGAAAACTATAATCAAGTGTCATCCTCTAAAACAGAATTAGGACTTTGCCAGATTCTGTTAAAGGTGATCCAAACAAAGTCGAGAACTACTGGAAGTATGGTAGTCAGGAAAGGGAGCATCTTCACATCCATTTGGGGGATATAATATGCCAGTTTCCTTCTATATCATCGCATTGTATCTTCATTAAACCTCCTTGGAAGAGAACAATTAATTCTATGTTTAAAGATGAAAGACAGCCAGGCTTGGTGGCTCAGCCTGTAATCACGCGCTTTGGGAGGCTGAGGTGAGTGAATTGCCTGAGCCTGCGGGTTTGAGACCTGCCTGGGCAACTTGGCAAGACCTCATCTCTACAATAAATCAAAAAATTAGCCAGGTGTGGTAGCGCGCACCTGTAGTTCCAGCTACTTGGAAGGCTGAGGCGGAAGGATCTCCAGAGCCCAGTAGGTCGAGGCTGCGGTGGCCAGGAGCGGCCACTGCACTCTAGTCTGGGTGACAGAGTGAGACTCCAACTCAAAAAAAAAAAAAAAAAAAAAAAAGAGATGAAAGACTAAGGTTCAGAAAGATAAAGTATATTATTGCCCAAGATGACACAGTGGTCAGAATGAATCAAGAATTTAAAATCTGGTCTAATCTAAAGTATTTGATTTTTTCTACTTTATCACACTGTCTTTTCCACATGACAGAGGTCAGTAACCTATAAACTAAGATGCCCTTGGATACTCTTTTACCCTTATTTCTCAGCCTAGTTTTCTGCCCACTGAATGGCACCAGGTGTCCCACCTGCCTGGAATGCCTGCTTCTAGACACACTTCATAATTTCCTAAGACCTGCTCACTCACGTTAAGACGCTTGCTGGCATCATCTGGGACTCGGGTGCTGCCTCTATCAAGGACTGCCAGGTATTTGTGGAGTTAGGGATCACAAAGCCAAACTCGAAGAACCATTCTGAAGGAAGAAGGAAAAGCCGGGGTGAGCAGGTCCCCAGTATAAAGTTTAAGGGCTCTTTGTTCCCCCTCCTTTAGAGTGAGTCTCCTCCTACCCCAAGAATCACTAAAGAAAGCTATTAGAAACCTTCCAGACCAGAGGCATAAAAAAAAGGACACAGAAGCCTTCTGCAGGTATCTTCTGAACCACACTACAGACTCGCTTCTTATGCTGTGGGATCTAAAGGACTAGGATCAACAAGCAGGATACAGTATAAGCAGCATTTTATTTTATTTTTTTATTTTTTTTGAGTTGGAGTCTCACTCTGTTGCCCAGACTGGAGTGCAGTGGCCGCTCCCGGCCACCGCAGCCTTGACCTGCTGGGCTCTGGCGATCCTTCCGCCTCAGCCTTCCAAGTAGCTGGAATTACAGGCGTGTGCTACCACGCCCGGCTGATTTTTTGATTTATTGTAGAGATGAGGTCTCGCTGCCCAGGCGGGTCTTGAACCCGCGGATTCAGGCAATCCACTCACCTCAGCCTCCCAAAGGTGCGGGATTACAGGCTGAGCCACCGAGCCCGGCTAGCAGCATTTTCTTAGAGGTAATCTGAATGAGAACTATAAACAGAAGTAGACCTTTTCACTTGGAATTTAGCTCTAAGGTGCATATGTGCCCTCTTACACTGCATGATGAGAACTCAATGCAGAGTGGCCTTGCCAGTCAAATCAGTATGATACTGTATGTAGAGCACTGTACTAGGCCCTGCTCATAGCAGCTTCCTCCATGACCCACATCTCAATACCACGTCAGTGCCTAATCAGGCACTACCTACCCAGGCTCCCAGTGTCAGAGACCTCAGTTCCCCTTGCAGTGACCAGCTTTGTTTTGCTTTGTTTTCTGTAAGGGTTCCCAATCTTGCAGCATGTAGGAACACTACTATAACTGAGTTGTAAATGAATGTTATCAAAGCACTGCTTTAGTTCATGGGGTGTTTTTGCCTTTTGTCCCTGTCATGCTAAGCCCCGATTTCAGGCAAGTAGGCAGCAGAATACCTTCTAGGCATTGCCCTTTGAAGTAAACTTTTTGTTCCAGGCGGAATTTCTCCATTTGTTCTGCTGAAGAAAAGTTCAACTCTCGAGACACTGCCTTGCACTTGAGGATTTTCTTGGGAACACGGGCTGATAAGAGAAAAACACATGCTGAAGTCAGTCTAAACGAAAACCACATGACTATGATGCTTTAAGTTTTTGGGAGCTTTGTACAGCTCGTTTAGAAAGCACATTATATGCATTACATTTCAGATAATGCCTTGGTAACTGCGTTATACTTTAGCTGAAGGCAGACATTTTCAACTGGTCAGCCGTATCTGAAAGATCTTAGATCTCCAAGGAATGTCAGATTTTGTGCATCTATGGGCTTCACCTAACCCTTCTCATCAGGAAGGGGGCTGCATGGGTACCTTCTCTCTACTCTGTTCTGTTGGTTTTAATCTTTTCTTTTACTTATGAGAGATAAAAGTGCAAATTTTCTTTGGGAAAAAACGTTGAGAACTTAGTTTATATCTTTGGGTATGTTCTAGTGCTAAAATGGGTTTTGAGAAGTGGGAGAAACATAAAAAAGGAACTAAAAATGCCAACAACACGTGGATTAACATGCTGTGTCATTCACCTACCTATTATTAGGTATGTGTTAACTTAGCTCCCTGATGCCCAGGCCCTGTTCTGGTCTTGATCACAGCCCTGTGCAGACAAAGGGTTGGAAAGTACCTTCATGCTCCACACCAGGGACAGACAGGTCTTCTGTTCCTTGCCAGAGTATCTTCCCTGTCTCAGAATCCCGAAGGTTCATCCAATTTCTGATCAAGTATGATTAAGGAAAGATAAGGAACTAAAAGTGCCTCCTACTTTGTATTCTGGGTGTCTCATATTTGCTCCTATCAACTCTTGCTTCCCTTTTAACAAATCTGTCAAGCCGGGCTCAGTGGCTCAGCCTGTAATCCCGCGCCTTGGAAGGCTGAGGTGAGTGGATTGCCTGAGCCTGCAGGTTCGAGACCCGCCTGGGTAACTTGGTGAGACCTCATCTCTACAATAAATCAAAAAATTAGCTGGGTGTGGTAGCGCGTGCCTGTAGTTCCAGCTAC